TTCTTTCTTTCTTTCTTTCTTTCTTTCTTTCTTTCTTTCTTTCTTTTTTTCTTTCTTTTTGTAATTTGTATTAATTTTTATCTGCACAATACTTAATAAAAATTATTTCTACAAAAAGGAAGTTACTTATATATTCTTTAAATTTAGTTTCTATCTTTTTCATTTCTTGCACTTTTTTTGGTTTTTTTTTCCTTCTTTCTTTTCTTTTCTGCTTTCGATTTTTCTTTTATTCTATGAAAAAAATATTTATAAATATATATTAGAACAAACAGGGGAGTCCCATCCACCCTACCCAAGGCCTGGGTAAATAGCTAGGTTTTCAAGGCCTTCTGAAATCCCATCAGCGTGGGAGCTGGGTGGATTTGAGGGGGCGGGACTTCATTCCAGGGGGCAGGTGCTGCAACAGAGAAGGCACACATCCTGGGTCCTGAAAAGTGACATTGATTGATCTATGGGACTTGAAGTGTGCCCACTCTGCCCTGTCTCACCAGATGTGCAGAAAAAATGAAAGATAGGTGGTCACTTATGCTATGTTGGGCTTTAATAACCAGCACCTTGAGTAGCACCAAGAAGCCCATTAGCAGCCAGTTGTACAAGTAAGGAATATGACCTTGATAGACATATGTAAGATCTGTTGCCATAGTGATGGGAGTGGGGTGTGTATGTGAAACTATAGGATGTCACAATCAATGGTTGTTAGCATAACCAGAAGACGGGACCCTTCACACCATCAGGGCCCCAGGCCGAGTCACAGACCTGAGTGTGTAGGGCCTTATGAAAGGCGAGCAGAGTCAGGGCCATCCTAATCTCTGGAGGGAGAATGTTCCATAGGGCAGGTGCTATGGCAGAAAAGGCACATCTCCTGGGCCCCACCAACCGGCATTCCCTGACCGATGAGACCTGGAATGTGCCCATCTGCTGTACCAAATAGAATGGGTAGAAACAACTAGGAAAAGGCCTTGTTCCTCAGGTGACCTGGTCCCAAGCCATGAAGGCCTTTAAGGGGGACAACCATCCACTTGAATTGCACATAGAAGGATGCTGACAACCAATGCAGCTCATGGAGTACTGGTGTTACATGTGCCAAGTAACCAGTATAATTTACTACCTGTACAGCTATATTCTGCACCATTTGAAACTTCTGAATGCTTTTCAAGGGCAGCCCCATGTAGACTGCATTGTAGTAGTCCAGATAGGAGGTCACAAGGGCACGAGTGACAGTGAGCAGTGCTTCCCAGTCCAGGAATGGGCACAATTGGTGCACAACCTGAAGGTGTGCAAAGGCCCTCCTAGCCACAGCTGCTACCTGCTCTTTGAGCAGAAGTTGTAGGTCTAGGAGGACCCCCAGACTGCACACTGAGTCTGTCTGGAGTAGTCCAACATGCTTTATTATGTGGTTTATTGATTATGTGGTTAAGTTGATAGGAGAAGGGTATTAGTTATCCAGGTATTTCAATATCTTTAAAGGATTTCAAGGTTATTTAAGATCCATAGTAATAAAAACTTCCTTAGATAAGTCAAATGCTGCATAACATATATAAGTTTTTGTCCAATTGTTTGAATAACCCAAATGCTTGATAAGCTTTGTTAGTAATGTTTCACTAAATCCATCATTTTTGGTTGGAGAAATCTGAAAATCATCCTAACGAACTAAAATTTCATCACCATGTAGCAACAGTTAGTGTTCC